GGAATGCAAACCCTCCCAACTTACTCTGAGAGTCACACCAACATTCGAAGTGGAGTGGAGTCAGCAGTGGTTCTGTTGAGGTCAGGGGCACCATCAAAGCATCTGGAAACTTTCTGTTGCAAGTTCTGAAGGGCCCTCTGTCGCCCAGCAGTTGCTTCATGTATTCTACATCTTGCTTTTCCCATTCTGAATGCCCTTGGCCCACCTCCTTCTTTTTTTTTTTTTAATAATAAATCATTTTACTGGGGGCTCTTACATATAGTATAACAAACCATCCATCCGTTGTCTCAAGCAGACATGTACAATTACTGGCAACAGCAATTTCTAAATAGTATCTTTCTTTTTTTACTCTTATTTCTTCCTGAGATAGAATTCAAAACCCACCCAAACCTCGACTTACATTTTTCCCGTTATGATTTGATGCCAGGAGTTCTTAGCAAGCCTACCTTTGTGCCTATGGTTTCCTGTGCTTAGGGGGGTTTCCTATGCTTAGGGGAGCCATTTATTGGATTCCTCAGGCTCATTGTAGAGAGTGTATGTGATCCTCGATAAGCTTAATATATTTACATTAAAAATTAATATGAGAGCCTTCTTATTTCTAAAGGTAAATCATAATTTGATTTAATTCACTTTATTTAATATATGACCATAATTCTAAAATTACTTAAAAAAAAAAAAAAAGGATGTGATGAGATTAAAATCAGTTCTGGGGGACCCTTTCATTATTTCTGTGTGAATCATGCGCCTGCCATGTGGCAGACAATCTACACTGCCATTTCTCGGGTGACATTTAGCATCTATATGTGGGTGCAGCACACACACACACACCCTTAGAGGCTTCAAATGAGTCCTCTGTGAAAGATTATGGGCAGGCTCTTTTTAAGTGCTACCATTAAAAAAAATAAAATTTAATGGAAAGAGATAAGCCTTTCCCAATACAAGCCTACTTCGATTTTATATTTCCTTAATCTGTTTTATATACTGCTGCAGGAAATTAAACCAAAATTGTCTTCTCTGACGTGTGCCTGGGTAGCTGTTGGGAGGACTGCAAGAAGGGAGATGGGGAGCTGCAGAAAACCATTCTCCGGTTTGTCGGCGATTTACTGTAACTCTATTTTAGGGACGGGATGTTCTTCATCTTTTCAATGGGCAGAACGGTTGTGACTGCCAGGGAGACCAAGCCTGTGGCCAGGACCACGCAGGGCTGTCTCCTTGCATCGCTGAGAACTGGTTGCCCCAGCTCACCTGTACACACAGGTGATCCTCAGGGAAAACACCGGGTGTCCTCCATCACAAGGCCCACGTTTCAGCTTCATGCACACACACCATGTTGCCTCACGCGCCTACTAACCCAGCAATCCGCCACAGGGAAAATAAACCCTCACCGCGTTATCCTTGGGTGGATGCAGAGGCGCGGTGATCCCACGTGCATCCTGGCAGAACTGGGCCACAGAGGGTTCAGTGGCCGTATCTTCTGGAACCAGCCGTGGTACTGCTGGGTGGAGCAGTTGGCCAGCCTCTCAGTTGGCAGCTGAATGCAAACCATTGGTACCCCCGGTGCATATTTTGCACAATACTGAATCTTCCTTCTTTCTCCTCCTTCTCTTCTACCCCTGACCCGTCACTCAGAGAACATTCTTCTGTTGACGTATCTGGTGTATCCAGATTTATTTGAAAGGAGCCCTGTGCTTGGCCGCTAACGGAAAGGTCAGGGGTCAGAAGCAGACAGATGAGTCACAGCGAAAGATGTAGCAGTCTGCTTGCATAAAGGCCCCCGCCTGGAAAACCCTGTGAGAAGCTCAATCCTGCCCTGCCAGCTTGCTGAGTCGGAATCCACTCAACTGCATTGGGTCGGGTTGAGGCTTATGTATTTTTACCTTCCGGACAAGTGACGTGGGTGTTTCATGTGCGCGTTGGGTTTTTCCCGTTTTTGTCTCTTTATCTAAATTGACCCTCTAGCTCCAGCTCTAGCATTTTTCTCTCTGCTTCTTGCTACCCTCATGGATAAGATCCTCGAATCTTAGGATCTCACTTCCTGCACATGCATACATGCCCAGAGGTCAGTTCCTTGTCCCCATCTTTTCTTGGCTCGCTGGGCTCGTCAACAGAGAGGAGATCAGGCAGCAGCATTTTGAGGGGGCGGTCTCCTCTGTAAGTCAAGTCACAGAGAAGCTCAGATCATTCTCCAGGGGAGGGACTGGATAAAGAAAGGCAGGGGGACAAAGAGAAGCTGGGGGGTGAAGGCTCCTGAGACCCCGGCCCAGGCAGATTACAGAGGGTATCTCTACCTGTGCAGGGTGAACTTGGCCTTCTTCTGGACTAACTACTTGTTAATGGGCAATGAAGGGGCTTGCTTTCTCTGCAAAGAGCTTTTCAGTAAGGGCTTCTGGCCAATTCATCTTCCTTATAGTGAATCACAAGTACTGTGCCTCTTATGCTAAATCACAAGCACTATCGATACCTCTCTGCTAAAAAGAAAGGGAGAGAACATCTTAGGCTGCTCTCAACGAAGAGAATTTCCCAGGAACGTCCCGAAGCACCTCTCTGATCCCAGAGGTGCTCTCTCTTGACAGTTCTCTCATGCAGGTCTCTGCCTCAGACCTTAAGATGCTCAGAACAACCAAGGATCCAGGGCAGTGCAGGGACAGTTGAATAAAACCCAAGCTCTTTGTTCCTGAATGGCAGAAAACATTGATTCTTAATTTTCTGCTCAGAGGAATCTCAACTTGGCTGCTGCCAAGGTGGCGGCCGTACCCAGCTCCTCCTCTGCTCTCCCCAAACACCCTTCCCCAGACCCAGACCCAGTCCCAGGTTTGCTGGCATGTTCAGGCACCCAGGACAGACCCATCAGCCACTGGAGTCTGTAAGACCCAGAACCCTGCCACCCAAGGTGCTGTCCTTAAATTATCTGCCTTTATAGACGTTCATACCCAAGAATCCCATTTCTAAGAATTTATCTGAAAAACCATTTAACAGGAGTAAAAGGTGATATGTTGTGAGATTTATATTATCTCATGACAAAATATTGAATGCGATCTCAATTTCTAAGAGTAGTTTAGCAAAGAAAGCTAAACGGTTTATCATTGTCTCTTCCAACTCATAGTGACCCATAGTGTGTCCTAGTAGAACTGTGCTCAGAGGAATTTTCCATGACTGATTTTTTTGGAAATAGGTCACCAGGCCTTTACTCCCACACACCTATTGGTAGACTTAACCCTCCAACCTTTCTGTTAACAACCAAATGCATTAACCATCTGCGCCACCCAGAGATTCCAATTTAGTAAACAATGGTATTATAAGCATGATGATGCCTTTGAAAGTGATGTTGGCAAAGAATATTGTCTATACCCTGGGGTTTCAGAAGAACACGCACTCTCCTTTGGAAGGAATACAGCAGGAATCCTCCTTAGAAGGGCAGGTGGTCAGAGTTCATCTCCTGTACCTTGGACAAATTATCAGGAGGGCCCAGATCCTAGAGGAGGACAGGATGCATGCTAACATTAAAGGCCAAGAGAAAGAGAGAGATCCTCAATGAGATGGATTGACGCTCCACCATAGGCAGGATTGTGCGGTCGGCACAGGACAGGCCACTGTTTTGTTCTGCTGTATACCAACCAGAGTTGCTCTGAGTTAGAGCCTACTAGTTCTGACAGCATCTTACAACCATCAGGAGCCTGGTGGAAACGGAATTGTGCTTCATCCGGCGATACGCTAATGCTGCCTCCTGAGCGGTTGCCATGGTTGATGAGCTCCTGCTGGAGGCCAAGTCTCATTCTTAGAGCTGATTTGAACTGATTTATGTGAGTCGTGACATTGGTGCTTCTTCTGAGGCTTCCCCTGCTGATACTGATGTGCAACCAGAGCTGTAAACCACTGTGCTGTGTGCTCAATACATTCCTGGATGCTAACAGGTCTCTGAGCCCTGGCTCCACACACCTCCTGAGGACATGCACACCAAACACAGTGGACCTGGAACCCCATCAGTCACCCTCGTCCACCGTTGGGTAGTGTAGAATGACAGCTTATCTCTACGTATTGCAACAGTGCTCTTGTGGGTGTTCTGGTTATCTGTTGCTGTAGAACAAACCATCTCAAAACTTCAAGTAAAGCAACTACTGTGTTACTATGTGCACAGATGCTGTGGCTCAGAATTCATTACAGCATAGCAGTGATGCCTGACCTCCTTCTTACAGTGTCTGGGGTTTCAGCTGGGAAACTAGAAGCCAGCTGTCTTTGGACAGGGGACTGGAATTATCTCGAGAGTTTCTTACATGTCTCTGGTGCCTGGGCGAGGATGAATTAAAGATAGGCTCAATGAAACTGTGGACCTCTCTATGGAGCTTGGATTTCCTTTGCAGCATGGAGGCTTATGATTCCATGGGCAATTATAAACAAAGCAGAGACCCCTTGGCCTTTTGGACTTACCCTGGAAGTCAATAGCTTCAGTTCCACTCTATTGCTGAAGTAGTCACAAGTCCACTCAGATTCAGAAAGAGTTTAGCAATCACACTGGCATGATGGTGTGACACGGGGCGTGGAAAGTGGGGGTGGGTGGGTTGTGACATGCAAATGCTATAATGTCATACGATGTTCATAGAAATACAGAAATATATGCGAAACTCAAAATGCGTATAGTGGTAAATTGAATGCAGCATACACACATGAAAACGTCTGCTGTGGTGCAACATGCTGTGTCATCATACCAAGTCCCGCCAGCGGTTCTGCCTAACTACCCACAATCCTGTGCAGCGACATCCGGGCAGATTATTGTGGGTCAGCAGACCCCGAAGGACTTGCGTGACTGGTAGACCTGCTTTGAGACACCATACTCAGAAGTCCCTCTGGTCGATCCCAGGCTGACTCAGAACCACAGTGCCGGGAGCCCCGGTGAACCTGTGGGGCTCACCCGGCCGTTAGCATCGCAGGTAAAAGCTGGGGAGCAGACACGGAGAGGCCTACCTACCTTGGACTCTAATATCCCTTCTTTCCTTTGCATCTAGGCTTTTGACATTTTGAGAGTTACGCATGGCAGAGAGCACAGCCTGATTGAAGATTTGACGCTTCTCTTAGAAGAATGTGAAGCCAACATGAGAGCATCCTAAGGGGCCCAGTCCGAGGGCAAGGGGTTCTCCTTTCATACTACACGCTTAGGAGCACACGTACCCCTCCTACTGTGTTTGCTGCGCAAGCCTCCCCTGCTGAAAATGCTGCTCTGTGTCTGGAAGCATAAAGGCAGGTCACAGAATCATTCGTTGTGAGCAGCCACAGTGCCAATCGTTTTCTTAAGGGAGACATCAGTCAGTGTAAGACATGAAAAAGCATAATTTATAAATTATCAAGAGTTCATGAGGGAGGAAGGGGAGGGGAGGGAGGGGGAAAAATGAGCTCAAGTAGAAAGACAATGTTTTGAAAATGATGATGGCAATGTATGTACAAATGTGCTTGATATATGTATGGATTGTGATACGAGCTGTATGAGCCCCCAATAAAATGATTTTTTTAATTGAAAAGTGCTAAAAAATTTTTTAAATGCTCTCTGGAAATTGTTTTCTTTGTTGATTCATGATTGATTTTAACATTTAAGATCCCAATGCTTAAGTCAAAGAATCCTGTTGAAAGCATGACAGTATATATGAGGAGGTATCCTCCCCTCCAAAAGCAAACAAACAGAAAAAGCTCTGCTGGACAGCTTTCAGAGTATGTATTTTTCCCACTAGGCGAGCATCAAGAGACTCACTCTGAGTTAGTGCACTCAGTGGCGTTGCCTGGAAAGATTCTCTCTGGTCACGATGAATTTTTTCGTAAAAGTAGTTTCACTCGAACCTTGTTTTTTGTGATGGCCAATTTAAGAGAACAGCATGCAACTGTGAAATTTTGTTTCCTGCTCTGGAAAAATGCCTCAGGAACTTTTATGATGTTGAACACAGCTTACAAGGACCGCGCTATGGGAAAAACTCAGGTGTACGAGTGGTTTTCCCATTTCAAAAAAGTGAAATGTCGATTGATGACAAACCTCATTCTGGACTGCCATCAACTTCCCAATCGGATGAAAATACTAACAAAATTCATGCACCTGTACTTGAAGACTGGTGACGGACCACTGAAGAGCTGGGGAAGTTATCTGGACTATTTTGGAGCTTAATTCAGCAAATTTTAATGGAAGATTTTGGAATGAGAAGGGTCACTGTGAATTTTGTGTCTCGGGTTCTGACTGACCAGGAAAAAGAGCGTTGAGTGCAAACATGCTGTGCTTTGAAAGAACAGCTCCAAAATGACCCAGACTTTCCCCCCAAGGTCATTACTGTTGATGAGACATGGTGCTATTCTTACAACCCCCGAAAGCAAACATTAATCAAGATAGTGGAAGATGCAATCATCACCTCACCCCAAAAAAACTTGAAGTGAAAAAATCAAAGATCAACACGATATTCATTTGGGGTTTTTTTTTATGTGAGGAGGATAGTGCATTTAGAGTTCGTTCCACCAGATTAGGCTGTTAATCAAGCTTTCTATTTAAAGGTTCTGAACAGTGTGCAACAAGAAAGCCTGATTTGTGGCAGATGGGAGACTGGTTTCGCCATCACAACAATGCACCTGCTCACACAGCCATCCATCGCACTGTGCCAGTTTCTGGCAAAAAACAGCATGTCTCTCTTGCCCCACACACCTGACTCACCTGACCTTCCTCTGTGCAACTTCTTTTGGTTTCTGTGAATGAAGAGCAACATTAAAGGACAGCGATTTGGCGACGTAGAAGAGGTGAAGAAGAAACAAGGGAGGTGCTGTCAGCCATGCAAACAGATGAGTTTAACAAATGTTTCCAAGAATGGAATCACAGATTTGACAAATGTAGAAGTGTAATGGATAGTAATTTAAAGGTGATAATATTGTTTGGTAAACAAATTTAAATACATAGCTTGGGGGGGGGGATTCTGGCTATTTTGGGGTACCCCTTCATTTAAGAAAGAGCTTTATTTTTATTTATTTAAATGTTTTACAATTTTTATTTTATTCAAACATGATGTGCAGAGAAATGGCAGTGGGACATCGGTCTCCCCCAGGGCACTCTACCATTCTTGCCACAACTTGTTTTCAGAGAGGATTGTTGCTTGGCCTGACGTTGAATCTGCATCCCCAAAGGATTTGAGGACCCAGTCAAAAAAACAGGCCACTTGGGACATGTTCTTGTCAGATGCCATTGAGTTTGTTCGGACTCACAGTGTCCCTGTGTACGACAGAACAAAACACTACCCAGTCCTGAGCCCTCCTCACAATCCTTATTTTGTTTGACTCCATGGTTGCTACCATGCTGTCAGTCTGCCTTGTGGAGCTTTCCTGTTTTCTACTGACCCTCTGCTGTACCAAGCATGCTGCCCTCCTCCCAGGACTTATCACGCCTAATCATCACGCACCAAGATGAAGTATCACTGGCCTTGCTTTTCAGAAGTATTTGAGACATGCTTCTGCCAAAGCCTATGTGCTTATTCTTCTACCAATCCATGTTATATTCCGTATTCTTGGTCAATACCGTAATTCAAATACACCAATCTAAGAAAGAGCTTTATACCAAGAAGTAGTCATCGATCAAGAAAGCATCCGAGCCCAGTGGAACTCAAGTCCGTAAGTCTGATACTAGTCCATCAGTCCCTCTTCAGACTCACACAGCCACGTGCAATGATGCAGAATGCAGGAAGACCCCACTGGGGAGGAGTCCTTGTACAACAGAATGAAGCATCACCGCATTGTGTGCCATCTTTACGATTGCTCGCATGTTCGTCTATCATGAGAACACTGTGTATGTTGAGTGCCTTGCAACACAAAGGACTCCTATTTAGAATTATATTGGATAATATTCTGCTGTTATTCAGAAGGTTTTCATTGGTTACTTCTCAGATAGATCTCCAGGCCTTTCTTCCTCATCTGTCTGGAAGCTCCAGTGAAATTTATGCACTGGGGTGAGCCTGCTGATACTTAAAGTACTGGTACCATGGCTTCCTACATCACAGCAACACGTAAGTCACAGCAGTATGACAAACTCTTGACAGGGAGTGGTAGAATAAGATATGCCTTAGTACCCAAAAGGAAAATGAATTTTTCCAATGTTTCCTCCTTTTTGTGGTAAATCTCTTTTCATGATGCACATTATATAACCCTTTATGTATGTCATCCTTTTTTATTCCTAAAAAGTTTTTTGCTGACATTTCCCATCTATGGTTCAGTAAAGGAGTTCTAGTGGCCTCCAAGAATGGCTGCTCACTGCAAAGTCAGGTGTTCAAACCTACCAGCCACCCAGTGAGAGAAAAATGAGGCTCTCTGTTTCCATAAAGTGTTACAGTCTCGGAAGCCCACAGGGCCAGTTCTACTCTGTCATATAGGGTCACTTCGGAGTCAGAGTGGACTCAGTGACCGTGAACTTTGGAGGTGGTTCCATCTTGAAATAAGCAGAGCACGCTCTATAGTCCTGTAGTGAGCAGGGTTGTACTGTCCAGGCTCAAACAGGCTTGCTGTCTTTTCTTCTTAATGATTTCCCAATACAATGCCTGCTTTTCTACCTGTGTGCTTGAGGAAAATAAAGAAAACTCTTTTCTTTGCCTCTGACTCTTGTACGCCTCCATGTGTACACTCTGGAGGCAACCGAGGCCATTGGATTCCTAAAGCTAAAGAGATTCTTGCATCAGGCATCTTTCTCATTTTACAGTTAAGGCAACAGGGGCAGGAAGGAATGGACGAGTCCAGGGATCCAGAGGGACAACTGTGTTCCCTCCTTTCAGGAGCCCTGCCCCACCCCTTGCAGGGTTGCAAGCCCTCTAACCACATGTGTGAAAACCCGGTGACCACATGGGTGCTGACCATGTACACAGACAGAATCGCCAACAGTCACAAGAGCACCACAAAGTGGGTATTAAAAGGCCCATTTTCCAAGTGAGAGTACAAAGGCTTTGGGGTATTAGGTCAGCCAGAACCCGTCCTGGTTCCTCAGTGACCTTTAAGAAAGGGCCATGGCCTCCATGCTATTTGAGAGGCAATTTCCCTCCAACCCAACAAACAGTGTGAAATTTTGCCATTTTGTGGATTCTATCTCATTGCAACCCAGTGTAAGAGAGTAACGGTGCCCGTAGGGTTTCCCAGGCTGTAATCTTTCCTGGAGTCAGGTCTTTTCTCCCGTGGACTGGCTGGCTGGTGGCTTTGAACCTTTCAATTAGCCGTTGAGCATGTAACCACTGTACTGCTGGAGCACATTGAGTGATTACTAGTGAATGTGTGTGTTTGTACAAAGGAGAGACAGGAACTATAAGACATGCTCTTTCCCACCTCGTCCCCACTACTTCAAAATGCATGCTCTGGTACAGTATTTTTTCATTTAATTTTTTCTCCATAACAAATTATTCCAATACTTAATGGCTGAAAAATAGCCATTTATTTATCTCATAATTTTGGAGGTCTGCAGTTTGGGCTGGACAGTGCCCCTGATGTGTCCCAGGCACAGCTGGTCTCCGCTAGGCTCACTCACTCTTGAGGTCTGCTGACAGAATAGCTAGGACTCTGGCGGCATGGTGGTTACACATTGAGCTGCTAACTGCAAAGTCAGCAGTTCAAATCCATGAGCCATTCTGAGGGAGAAAGATGGGGCTTTCTACTCTGGGAAAGAGTTACAGTCTCAGAAACCCACAGAGGCCGTTCTATTCTGTCCTATAGGGTTGATATGAGTCATCATTGACTCAATGGCAGTAAGTTTGGCTTTTTAGTTTTGGTAAAACAGCTGTGGATTGTAGGCCACTGGACATCCCCTTACCGAGGGTATCGGGGAGGAGACGAGCCAGTCAGGGTGCGATGTAGCAACGATGAAAAATACAACTTTCTTCTAGTTCCTAAATGCTTCCTCCCCCCACCCCCCACCCCACCCCTACTATCATGATCTGAATTCTACCTTGCGAGTCTGGATAGACCAGAGGATGTACACTGGTACAGATAGGAACTGGAAACACAGGGAATCCAGGGCGGATGATCCCTTCAGGACCAGTGGGATGAGTGACGATACTGGGAGGGTAGAGGGAGAGTGGGTTGGAAAGAGGGAACCGATTACAAGGATCTATATGTGACCTCCTCCCTGGGGGACGGACAACAGAAAAGCGGGTGAAGGGAGACGTTGGACAGGGCAAGATATGACAAAATAATAATTTATAAATTATCAAGGGCTCATGAGGGAGAGGAAAAAATGAGGAGCTGATGCCTGGGGCTTAAGTGGAGAGGAAATGTTTTGAGAATGATGAGGGCAATGAATGTACAAATGTGCTTTACACAACTGATGTATGTATGGATTGTGAT